TCCATGGCTCACTACTCCCAGGTTTTGAAAAAATCAGTGAAGTGTTGAGCTAATAATGCAATCAAGTTTTGAGTTGATAATGAGCTTTTATCCGTTCAACTGTCTTGTTTCTGCATCTGAGTTGGTTCAAAATTTAAGAGGTTTTGTGACCTGAGATTATTCTGTTAGCATTCTGCTGGTTAATTCTAGGTTTAGTCTAGATTTAAATCTTGCAACGTATTGGTGTCTGATACATATTGATTTTCAGGGTCGCTAATGCTCTGGGAGTTGGGTGATTTCAATTGTTTTAAACCTTTAATAACTGATGTGACATGTCCTCTGCAAATTTGCGTATCGAGTATCGATACCTTGGAACCTTGGATTTAATGAGATTTTTAAGGATTCATCATGCTCTGCAATAGCTAATACGAGCCCAATTCTAGGACTTAAAAGTGTCTTGAGTTTGAAAATTGAAACCCTTCATGGCAATTGTGGTTGAGCATCACCTCCAGATGGAAGTATCTTTGTGATTTCTGAACTTGATTTGATGGTGGGATGGGTTTGGAATTCACTCCAGTGATGTTGGGCTTCAAATCATGACGAAGAGGACATCAATTGGTGAGCTGGAGTGTTTTAACAGCGACGAGAGAAGGGGGACACTGTTGGGTGGGGGTTGTGACTTGTGAGACAGAGAAAATGGGAAAAATGAAGGAATGCTAGTCAGCACGTGGGAAATAGTCTCATGAGATTTGGGACACTTGGCTGGCTGATAACTATTGGGTTTATTACAAATTCCACATCAGATCCCGGACCCAATGTTGACACTTGACAGTGGCTCAATAATATTAAGAGATATCATAGTTCTTAAGAGTGGATTGGAATTAGAGCAAGTAGGTGGAATGGAGTGAGCTGTAGCCTCTACTTGGATTCTGTCATCACTTCCTGGAAATGTGCTAGGAGATGCGTTATTTAAGTTGGTTAAGCTTGAGGCGAGCTCCTTAAGAAGTTGGATTCTATCATTACTACCGTGTGGTGTTTTATACATTAAAGAGTTCGTCCCCTACTTAACGACTTAGGGGTGTTGGGATCATTATTTTTGTTTTTTTTTTGTTGAGATTTTTTGAGAAAATGTTTTTTTTTTTTTTTTCATGGTGCTGTTTGGTTCCATTGTTGTCTTATGAGAAAACAGTATCACATATGAGCCACGTCAGCCACCATACCAGAAAATACTTTGTGGAAAGAAAAAAAATACCAAAATTGGTGTTTTGTAAGATGAGCAGTTTTTTTTTTTAACCAAACAACACATGTTTTGATTTTTTCTCAAAATCTGATGGGGATCTGATGTGGCACAATTTTCTCAATACCACCACATTCATTAAAAGCAAAGCAATAAACTAGGGTTTTTAAAACCAAACCAGACAATGAACTATTCAGGGTCCGGTTTATGGGTCGAATGATCCAACTGTTCGAACTGAATAGATGGCCCGTTCTGACAAAAAAAATTAAAAATTAAAAAAATAAACAGTCAAAAAACTGCTGGATAGTTTAAACTATTTAACTACTTGGATCAGTGGTTTGCTGACCAAATCAACGATTTTTAACCAAAATAACGATTCTGGGGTTCCGGTCTGACTGTCGAGTCCAGTCCAATTTTGAAAACCATCCTCACAGAAACTCAGCACACACCTTGAAAGCACCGGCCAGTTGCATCAAGAAACACAATAAAGTGAATAAACCTCATGCCTCGAGAAATTTTGGAGAAAACACTCCTCTTGATCATGCCCTTTATTTACTAACCAATGTGCCGCGAAATTTAGTACAATGGTAATAACATCTCCAATTTAACACACATACACTGTAGAAGAGATTATTTTCAATATAGTGATTTCAGAGTGGGTGCAGAGATTTTGGGGAGGGCATCCAGGCTTATCCAATTCAGCCAGTTCAGCTTTTATTAAATGGCCCCTCACGCGTATGGATGGATACACTGTATGCCTCCCCACGTATCAAAATTTAACAGATTAAGTGTAACGGCTCCAACAGAAGCTGCTTTTGGTGTTGGTTGCATTATCCTAAATCCTAAATGGTATAGGTTTGATTCCATCTGCCACAGATGACTGACTCTTCACATGCCCTTATCCACTTTGGCACGTGAGCATCGCCATTCTGGCCCCAGAAAACGTTTGGAACGAATAGAATAAATCAATTCTGTCTTGGCATGCAGAGGGGGCACATCACATGGGCATATCGGTGCTAATTTATTGCATGAAACTGTGCTACTTTCTTTTCTCGAGTTCAATTTTCTTGTCATATATATTTATATATTGCGGTATGGACCTAGAACCTTGACTGAATATATATATTTCTAGAGACATGTTACCTTATATTTACGACAAAAATGTAAGTCGCTGTACTGGGTTTGGGGAAGGTTCTATAATGGGGCGGTGGCTTCTCCCTTACCAAATTGCCTTGACTAATGAGGTTTGAGTTTAGGCAGCTTTCTTTCTCATTGCTACATGCAGAGCCATTGTTGTGGTAACGTGGTTGCTTTTCCCAGCAAGGGAGGACACCACCGCTTGTGTTAGATTTCGGAGGCATTATTTTTGGATTTTGAGAGGGGAAAAGTTAGTCAATGGGATTTTAATTCTCATTGATAATGTTCTTTTTTAAGATTTATATGGGACCAGGGAAAGTTTATTTTCCTGGTACCATTTACCCAGGTAAGTGATACCCATTTCTTAGGTGGGTAAATAACTTTCCCACCTTAGGGGAAAGTTGTCAACACTTGAATGGAACAAAAATGCCCCTTGTAATAATGAATTTTTATGGTTAAAATGGTCATTGTCTTGTTTGCATGGAAAATAAAAGAACATGGGTAAATTTACTTACTCAGGAAACATTTACTTGGGTAAGTGCATTTACCCGGGTAAATAACTTACCAAAAAGCGAACGAGGCCTTGATGTGGTTGGTGGTTCGCGGATAGTGTTTGGATCCCAAAATTGCTTCTTCTACTACTCATTTCTTTATTTGGGTAAAATATAAAAACTACCCTTGAAGTATCATATAAACCTCTCTTATAGTTTTATTTTAACAAATACCTCTTCTGAACCAAGGTTCAAAGTATCGATATGATACACATATCGGCAATATTGTATCGGTACTTAGAAACGGCCAAAACTCTATTTTTTTTTAATTCTTTTTTTCAAATCTTGGTTTTTTGGGAAGTTAAAAACATGTTTTTTTTTATTATTAAAAAAAGTTGGGGTTCCGAAACACCTGGAAAAGGTGTTTCGGAGCGTACCTTTTTCAAAAGATACGATACGATACACCCGACACGGGGCGTATTGTATCAATACTTTAAACCATGTTCTAAACTTTTAAGAAATTCGACAAAAGCCTCCCTTCCATTACCTTTTCAGATGGAATACATTAAATTGATACATCAATTTTTTTTCAAATGCCCATTCTACCCTTTTATAAATTATTTTATATATAAAATTGCTGAAATAACCCTATTTTAATTTGACAAACCTCCTTTACGGTCATTTTCTAACGTTTTGTCGAGTTAAAACAGAGTTATTTCAGTAATTTTGTATGTAAAATAATTTATAAAAGGATAAAATAGATATTTAGAAAAAAAACTGATGCATTAACCTAATGTTTTCCGTTTGGAAAAGTGATAGAAGGGAGCTTTTTGTTAAGTTTCTCAAAAATTAAGGGGAGGCATTTGTTAAAATAAAACTATAAAAAAGGTTTTTATGATTTTTACAAACAGGAGGTTTTTGTATTTTATCCTTATTTATTTGTACAACAACTATAAAATGCATCACGATATGCTTATTTTTAGACCTTCCCATTATTAAGTCATTAACAAAAAATCAACAGAATTAACCAATCAATCGTTCCTTTCAAAACAAACGGAGAGGACACTGTGCAGATTGGTTGTGCACACCAAACTAGTTACAGACGTACAATATAGTTAAAATCTCTCTCCAAGCAAACTTGGTTTCCCCAACCCATGCAGGTGTCATGTCAATGGTATTCGAAAATCTGATTTTAAATTTAGGATTTAATATAATTAAACCAAATTTAAATAATTTAAATATTATAATTAATTGAATTCAAATATTTTATTCATACCATTTAATTATTTAAATTAAATTTGAATAATTTAAATACTATAATCGGTTGAATTCAAATATCCCATTCATACTATTTAACTAATCGAATCGAATTTGGATATGACCTGATTCAATTTGATAAATATTCGAAATCAACTGATTATTTAATTCTTCTATAATATATAAAATATTGTACATAATTTTTATATATAATAATTAAATTATATAAATAACTTATGTTTATATACTTTATATAAATAAAATATTTATTTTTTGTATTTATTAATTACCTAAAATAATTAATCTCCCCACTCCACCCCCCCCAAAAAAAAAATGGACATTTCATGAACACTTCTCAATATGTAAACATTATGTTTAGACAAACCATGCTATAAAATATTTCCATGCTAGAAGTTTAATTAAATTTGGAAATATAGTAATTGAGAAATGATACATGAAAATCTAAACGCATGCGTGGAATCAGCATGTTAAATGGGATGCTTATACCCATACCCATACCCTGGATCTCAAGAAATGAGTTGTATCCCTGTTTCCTGTATCCATCTTGTATCTGGCACTTTAGCTCTGTTATGATTATGACTGTTCAATCAAAATTTAGCCATCAAAACATCATCAATTAGAGGTTCACATATCAATCACATTGATAGGTCTTCACCATGCACCTTCACCCTTAAACCATCTAAAAAAACGAACAAGATTGAAGATACAAAACACAAAGCAGCATGCAGACAGAGTTGTTTAATACCGCCAAGTTTACAACCATGTTTTGAATCCTGAAGAGTTAAACAGAGTGATCATAACACCTCAAATTTAAGGAAATACCAAGCAAAAAGTAGAGCGGAGAAGATGCAATAAAGAGATATCAGATAGGCATGAACTTGTAATAAATTTTCCATTCTCTCCTTTTTTTTTTCATTCTTTGTATATAAATATTTCAAAATTCAACAAAAGAAGGAACGCTTCTTCGAGAAAGTTAACAAAATAATACATTTCTTCTCCCAGCTCTAACCGAAAACAAAGCAGGGTTCTACTAAATCTCAGATTCAAGTATCTGATTAATCCTATACAAAAAAAAAAGAAATGACTTTACATTGCACCACTGGTAATCAATGCATGCTATACAGTTAAGGGTAACTCAAAAGCGTTAGCTGCTCCTGCTAATAGTTATACTGCATGTAGGCTTTGCCTCTCTTCATTCTTTTCAGTGACCTTTGGAGGATCCTTCAGAACCTTTACACGAAAGGCAGCCTGCAAAAATTTTGGAAACATAATCTCCATAAACAAATTGTTGTTGTCACCAATATAACAAGGAGTCAAGGACACTCCAATTCTAAAGAGTATTTAAAACGAAATCTAGGCAACTTGTATGTTAAACTAGAAGTTCAACTAACAACACTCAAAGAAGGTTTCTTTTTTCAAATAATAAATTATATCTGTTTTTATTTAAAATGACAGCAAACTAGGGAAGAGACATTTCAAATGTAGATCTAGAGAAACTACAGATAGGTTGCTAGTCACGGAACAATGTCTGTTCTAATCTGTTTGTTTGACTATATGAATCCTTAACTTCTTATATCTAATAGTTTTTGCATTCACTAAGGATACTATCATATACAAATTATACAGTAATGGTTCTTATAAGAGACTGGAGAAACAAGAAACAAGTATATATACAGTGCGTTCATGATTGTCCCCAAGTACAAACCAATTACTTATGGAACCACATAGACATAGTTGGTACTGAAAGGTCAAATCCCATTAAGAATCAGCCAAAAGTGGATAACTTCTATATCAAACATGATAGAACCCATGTACATTAGACCCATATCAGCCCAAGTCCCTAATGCAAGTTGTTGATATTCATATTAATTTAAACCTCCCTTGGTCATCATCCAAACTATAAACATGTAGACAATCCCCTGTTCTAACAAAATCCATTAGGATGTGCAATAATTTAAGGATGTATTCAAGGATCCATAGAATCCTAGACTCTTGCTTCAAGCATATCTACTCAAGGATGATGGTGGATAAAATTCAAAGTATCTGGAATCTTTACCATCCAAGCTCACAACACTGACTGCATGAAATGATTTAAGTGGGACGACAACCCTTGGGATGAACTATCCATGGCGAAATCTGACATCTTTGAACTTCCATATTGATGGCCAAGTGTGGCCCCAAAAGGACACCCCATACCTCTCCACCAGACAGACACAATACTTAAAAAGAAAGAAAAAATGGAAAATGGTGGCAATATGCAAGCATGTGCTTTAAATTCAGTAAGATGGAATGAGATTATCATGGAGAAGCATATTTAAACATAGGAAACTATGGTCACCTTTTTTCATTTATCATACATATTACATACCAGAAATGGTACCATAGCATGGTTATATATATAGAAGATTAGTTTATGGACAATTGGGCATGTTAGCCATGTTTTGCTTTTTTGACATCCTGCAGTCAGGTAGGCATCCTAAACTATAACAATTGAAAACAGTTGCTGTAGATTTCTCTCTCTTTCTCTCTCTCTCTCTCTCTCTCTCTCACACACACACACATTTGTGAATTGGGATCGGAGGAGTATGGGTACAATTACCTTCTTGTCAGAACCAAACTCAATAACGTCAGATGGATGAAATCGAGCGGGAAAGTTTGGAGGAATCCGATACCGCCTCCCCTCTTTACTGCATGATGGTTACAGATATACATTTAATAAAAAACACTTAGTGGATTGTGAAAACAAGAGTGCTCCTCTCTTTACTCACATCGGTATACATTTAATAAAAAGCATTTAGTGGATTGTGGAAACAAGAGTGCTCCTCTCTTTACTTACTCTGTGATCCAAGTACCATGCTCACTCCGCAAATCAGTCAAGTAGAAAGCACCATCCTTATAGCTTATACGAGCATGCATTTTGGACACCTGAAATGAGAATAATCAATTAATTAACCAAGAATACTTGATTAGAAGAAGAGAAAAAAAAACAAGAAAACCAAATTATAGGATAACAAAGAAGAAATTGATTTGCTATCTGAAACCACTCACCTGGGATGAAGGTATGGCTATTGATATTCCTGGTAAGTTGGCATGTGAAATATTCCTGAGTGGCAACAAATTCATGAAACATGTGAAGCTATGTAAAATGAGAAAACAAAACAGAATGAAATCTAAGGTACCTAACAGATAGAACACAAAGTAGGAGATCTTTTAGACAAAAAATAGCTATTCAAAGTAAAATTTGATGGTTTATATAAGATTCTTGTTTTTCTATCAGGATAATTCCATAGGAGAAGCCCGATGAGTAGGAGGCTCGATCAAATGTCCATGTATACCATCTGCATCAGAAAATTGGTATGAAATGGAGAGATATGTGATTCAATCCAATCTGTATCCATTCAAAAAGTGGCAGAACCAGGTTGAGATGCTGGATCTGGTTGGATTTGCCTCCAAGACCAACAGTAGGGTCCTAGGTGGTATTCAGTCAAATAAGATTGTCATTGGAAGATGTAGAATAAAGTGCACAAATCTCATATCAAGCATCCAGATGAAAACTGTATCTGATCTGGGGCTGTCTCAATATGGAAAGAAAACTGGATATGGATCCTGTATCATAGTCTGCGTAGTCTGTCAAAATCCGGAGAGATGATCCATTTCATGCCCTAATGATGTTACAATAACCATTTTTTTTTATCAATGTTACAATAAGCATTTTGAAAGTCTACCAAATGTAGTACCTTAGACTTTGTCCTACAGTAATAGAAGAAACAAGAATAAGAATTGTTCTCAAAAAAACATACCCAACAAAGCAGGGTTTGTTCTCATCCCTTCCCAAATGAATTGGTTGTAAGTCTCCATTAGCCTCACTTTCTGATGGGAAAAGAAACCACCTTCAAAATAAAAAACAAAAAATAAATAAAAGTCTAACGATGAAAAGGAAATCATGTGCCATAAAAATATAATATTGATGGTGTTACATGATAGAATATCATACATACTCTGCATTAAGAGCACGTTCTAGTGCATCATCATCTTCAAACCATTTTTGTAATTGGTTGTTTGCCTTGATCAATTAATGACCAAATGTCAGCTTTTTGGACTACAAAAATAGTTTCTTACAATTTGTATTAGCTTTATAAGAGACACCAATGAGCTATGTTCAAACTGTTTCTATATCTAATTTTTGTTTATAATCTTCAAGCAACATACTTTGTCTGTGAGTCTGCAGCAGAGTGACCTCCCTTCAAGCTTTGAACTGCAAAACAAATAGACATCAATAATCAGTGTTACCAGGACATATCAAAACTGAAGGATCCAACTGTTCCAATATTTGGACTTCATGCCAAGACTTGCACAACATTTCTTGTAGCATCTCAATGATGCTCCAAGCTTAGTAAATAAAGTGAAGCATTTAGTACTGGAAACCAAGATATGATGAGAGTAAGGAGCCAACAATTCGAGTTTCTTATATTTTGTGTTCTTTAAAACTATTTATGTACCTGTAAATATTAGTCAACATATTGCCGTGCCATATTTTTAGAGGTTGATGTGCCAGATCTTTCTACACCTAAATACTTTGCACCTCTGCCAATGGTAATTGATAATAATGGATCTAGTTAAAATGAAATTCTGCAGATTAATGATAGATTTGTTTCCATAGGCAGAAGTGCCATAGGCAAAAGTGGTCAAAGCCATACTTTGTGGTTGCACATGTAGCAGGCAGAGCCTGCACCAACTTGTCAGAATAAGCATTCTCCATTCAATAAGGCTAAACAATTCAGAACAACTCATATATTGCCTATAGCAACAGGCTAAATGTGAAGACATGACATTGCAGGGCTAGTTCATGCTTAGCATCAGGTACAAGGGTTAGAATGGCCCAGCCATCAGGCCTGATATACAGCTCTAGTCTGGCCTAAGATGAGCCTAGTGCCTAGGCCAGGCAACCAAGATTGTAGTCTCACTGTTCAGCCATAAAAAATCATTTAATTATTGTTAATATTTACTTTTTCTGTCATTGTAGAGCGATTTTCTATAGATAACTTGCAATTGTTTTTACATTCCATCTAGTTTTTGTTAGAAAAAAAAATTCTTATATTAATATGGCATTAATGAACTTGTGAAAGCTTGGAATAAATACCAACTGGGCTACAGTGTACTTTATGCACAAAAATATGGCTTATATTAGTTTATGTATTGGGGCCAAGACAGGCCTGACCAGTCCTAGACGCCTCTGGCCCAGCCCAGAATTGACCAGGCTTCCTGCAGATTCAGGTTGGGCTTTGACATATAGACCTAGGCCCAGCCCAGCCCTAACTCAGGCTGGGAATACCCATTACCACCCTGGTCTAATGGACATATAACCTGCATGAAGCACAGGTTGCCCAAGATGCATATCACAATTATCTAATTGCAATAATTGATATAGTGCAATACTGTAACTGGATAAACTCAACTCAACTCAGCTAAGCCTTATCCCAACCATATGGGGTTAGCTACATGAATCCTGTTCTGTCGTTCCAGTCTTTAACAGGATAAACTATACCCTGTAAATGAGGTGAATGGCTGCAGTATTTTTTCTTCCACATATAGGGGATTACATAGCAGATACAGAAAATATATCCAATGAGGGATGTCTAGACCAACCATGTCTATAATTAACTCATCCATCTGAGCTTCATAAAAAGTTTGTACTTCATTTTTTTCTCTTTAATACCCCTTTTGCTTTTTCTTTCCTTTTGAAATTTTTACAGAAAAGAAGTGTGAAAATTTAATTCTTATATGCCATTGCGCAAACCTTGTCACATGGGAAGAAATCGACATGGTTACCACACACACCCATGTTAGGGTGCCAACTCAGCTACCATTTTTTTTTTCAAAATTGTGTATGGGCAAGATACAAACTATTACTCCTGTGAGATGATGTATTTGAACGATTTATTCCTTTTTCTTCCAAATTTTGCAGAAACTTGTGAATATGCTTCAAAGAAGAATGCTATCTCCTCAAAAGCCTTGTATACTTGTCCACCTTTACTATTTTCAATATTTTTTTAGCATAAAAATTCCACACCAGGCCTCAGGTAAACATGCAATGTAGAAAAATAAAGGTTTCCAAATAAACGATTTAAATAGGGTTGCATATTTTGTTCCAAGTTATCATTATACAAGAAATTAAAAGAAGTTTCAATAGATTAATCAAAAGATTAACAATAGCAATCACATTCCACCACTCCATCTCAAGCCATATCCTCAAAAATTCTCTTGTACCCAGTTATCAGCAAAGAATATCAGAGAGAAGTAAGCAAGCAATAGGGAAACAGTAAGAGGGCTCTCAAAGGCATTACCTGTTACCACCTAAGACCCAACTCATCATTAAAGGCATTGCAAAATGAATAAAAAATCTCCCACCAACTCTTCCTGGATGTGGTATCTTGAACTTTGTCAAAAACTGCAAAAATAGGTTTTAAGCCATCAGAAAGAAGAGAATACAAACTGAATGAGCCATCAACTATTTGTAAAGAAACATGAATCACTGGTTCATACCGACAATGGACCAAGCCCCACACCCAAATATGGCTTGTAAGTGGAGGCCATTACTGCAGCCATTCTTGCCAACCCATATATGATAGTGACACGCAGTCTTCTTGCTTCTTCATATCTGAAACAGAAAGTGCCATATGTATCAACACATTATATAAAAAGCAACTCTTAAAAGAATTAGCAGGAATTTTAAACCACGTAAACAAGATTGTCCATAGCCATAAAATATTTAGAAAAAAAATGTAAAGCCCAGAAAGGCAGTAAAACCATAAATATTGTTTTGCCTTGTTGCCCATGTAAGAAAAATGAAATAGAAGGCATAAAAATTACTCTATGCATTTAAAATAAAGGCAGCCTGTTTATCTTACCTATCTAAACAAATATTAGAGGGCATCCAAATTACCATGTCAATTGAAAATAAAGACAACAATATACAGTTGTGGACATGCAATATGGCTTTATCTACAGATTAAAGGTCCCAGTAAAAAAATTAAGGCAAATGATTGAAATCATCCAAGTACATGTTGGTAAATATGTGATGCAACGTAACCTACCATTAGAAGGCTCTTCTTCATGATCCAAGCAACAAAGTTTTATATTCTTTGGACTAGTAACCATGTTCATGTGAATGCCATAAAGAAAGTAAATATATGGGGGTGGCATCTTGATGGTGTGACTGTTGAACAGGGTCCTACTCCCTGCATGTTTACCAGGTGTGCTACAATGCTACAGGTGAACCATGATTAGGGTCTAACGCTGCTACTCCAGATTTTTCCTTTCTATCATATACATAGTTAAAAACTCTTTGTAGGGTGATTAAAATGAAACATTACCTCTTTAGAGAAGATGTAATATCAAGAGGGGTCCCCGATTCAACACTGTGAATCCAAGCCTTCTCAAGCTCCAAAGCTAGTTGGTAACTATCCTACAAAAATAAATTAAGGTAAATTAACATGAGAATCCATTAGGAACCACAATATCTAGATGTATAAATTATTATTGTAGTACAAAAAAATCATGATCTCAACATTATTTGATTGCTCATGCATATGATACTTTTGCCCTAGTACAATGATTTCTACTTTTCTAGCTTGTAAAATAAATGGTACAAAGATTTTATCATTTATGGAGACAACATGACAACTTTTTGGTCTTTTATTTGGGATGAGAATGAGGTGTAACAAATAATCCCAAGAACTAATTAAGCATACCTCAATAGCCATGCATCCACCTTGACCGAGGTTTGGCTGCATAGCATGAACTGAATCTCCAAGCAAGGTTACACGACCCTTTCCCCAAGTAAACATAGGTACACGGTCGTATATGTCACGACGTAGAATCTCATCCTCATTTGTGGCATTTATTAAGTCGATCACATTTTCGCACCAAGCCCCAAATAGTTTAAGCAACCTTTCTTTTTTACCTGCCCAATGATTTCCTACATAACATCAAAACAAGATAGACCCCCAAATATAAAACACCAAAATCATGTATCTGGTTGTCTCCTTTTCATTTGAACAGAGAGGAGGAGAGGAGACTCTACAGTTTCAATGATTCTGATTGGGATTAAGGATGTCCAAGAAAGTATTAACTAATAAAATATTGGTTATCTTGCTTATTTATAAAAAGTGTAGTTTTTTCAAATTCTTACATTTATATACTTGTCAAAAATAAATGTAAAAAATATCTTAACTACCTAGGAATGTTGTATAAGAAAATTGGAATTCACAATGTATGCTAGATGTTCATTTGTGTGAAAAAAAAGGAGAAAACAAAGAAAATATGCAAACATGTCTTCTAAGAATCTAAATTGTCTGGAAACCTAATACATGCCTCAACAAAGTCACTTCATCCAAATAGAAATGTTGATGGTGAAAGCTGAACCACTGTAGTTGAAGTAGCAGAGAAGAGGAGAAGAAGAAGAGATGCTGAAAATATCGAACTGTACTAGCCAGTCGACCAGTTCTTTATTTATAGATGAATATAGTACAAGGTACAAGAAATTACTGGGATGCCCCTGATTAGTGATGGGACACCCAGATGACTTAAATCATTAAACAGGATTAGGCCCATTAACA